CCCCAGGTGACAGGTCCCCGAGTCCCCCGCGCCCGCCCCCAGGTGACAGGTCCCCGCGTCCCCCGCGTCCGCCTTCCACGTGACAAGTCCCCACGCCCCCCGCGTTCCCGCTCCGGGTGATCGGCCCCCCACGGCCTCCGCCCGAGGCGGCCCCGCAGCTCCCGCCGGCAGCTTGGTGCCCCGATGTGAGCTGACCGCGCGGCGAGCAGGAGCCCCGCTCACTCCTAGCCCGTCTACACCTCCTTCCTCGGCTTCAGCCCCGACTCCCCTCCCAAGGGGCCCGCGCACGACTCACCCCGCGGCGGCGGCTGTGCCTCGGCTGGCTCACGTTCTTGGTGACTTTGTGGCCCTTGTTGAGGCCCACGGCCATAGGGTAGCGCACTGCCATGGCTGGAACCCGGAGGAGAGAAGTGAAGTCACAGCTCAGTCTCCGCTTCTCAGAGCCCCTGAGCTCAGGACCCCCTGCTCCTTCGGGCTCGTTAGGTGCACCCCACCGCACGCCAAGACGAGCAGGGGTTGTTGCGGGCCCGATGAAAACGGATCTCGAAAGCGCGACAACTCGCTTACCTGCTGCACGTCGATGGCTGCCGCGGCGGAAGGACGGTTGCGCACGGAATTCTGGGATATGTACTCGCGGTCAGATTTTCGGGCCAGAGAGGCAGTCGCTGTCTTGAGCGCCCCCTGACGGCTGGAGGAGTCAACGGTTTCCATGAGCACTGGGCTACCTGAGCAGTGCAATTCAAGGCTTTAAACTCTAAATAACAATGGACTCCAACATATTAGAGTGTGAGGATGGCGGAGGATAGGACAAAGTACACAGTTATTGGTGACAGGGACGCTATTGTTGAAAGAGTCGTAGTTCACTCGATAGTTGTTGTTGTTGTTATGTGCCATCAAGTCGCTTGCGACTCATATGACCCTATGTACAACAGCCCTAAACTCTGCTCTGTCCTGTGCCAATCGCACTGTCTCTGACGCACCTACCCCCATTACCGCAGTCACTGAATCAATCCACCTGCCAAGGACTGGTCCCTCCTTGCAACATGTCCAAAGTATGTCAGATGAAGCTTCAGAATTTTTGCCTCCAAGGAGCAGCCTGGCTTAACCCTCTCCAGGATGAACCTGTTAGGTTTTTTAGCAGTCCATGGTATATTCCATACCCTTCTCCAACACTACAGCTCAAAGGCTTCCATTCTCCTTCTATCCTCCCTAGTCATTGTCCAGATCTCTGATGCATAACAAGTGATTGCAAAGACCATGGCCTGTATCAGGTGCACCTTAGTCTCCAGAAAGACATCATTGCTCTTCAGTACTTTGGAGAGGTCCCTAACAACAGACTTTCCCATTGCAACACACCTTTTAACTTCCTGGCTGCTTGTGCCAAGAGTGTTGACTGTGGAGTCAAGCAAACTAAGGCTGTAAACTCTTCACCATCCATCCTCATGCTGCCAATTGGTCCAGTGGTGATATTCTTTATATTCTTATTATTGAGCTTCAACCCATATCAAAGGCTGCAGTCCTTGACCCTCTGCAGCAAGTGCTTCAGTTTGTCCTCAGTTTCAGCAAGCAGGGTTGTGTCATCTGCATAACGCAGATTGTTGATGAACCTAACAGTAAGATTGGAGAGAAGGAAATAATTTTACTTGGATCCACAAGCACCACCAGTCAAAAATGCAAAAGGAGTGTTGCACTGGGCAAATTGCTGTCATGGAGACTTTAAAGTGACCCTCTGCTAAAGAGCAAGAAAATAACTTTAAGGATTAAGGTGTACCTGACCCAAGCCATACTTCATTTGCTCATGAATAGTGGTTGAATATTCAATTGCTTCAGACACCTTTGAATAGTGGTTTGGAATATCCCGTGGACTGCCAAAAGAACAAACAAATAAATCTGTCTTGGAGAAAATACAACCAGGACTTGTGTGGAGGCAAGGACTGCTGAACTATAATCTCACACACTTTAGTCATGTTAGGAGGGAGGAGCCAATTCTTGGGAAAAGACCTCATGCTTGCAAGAATAAAAGGTCACAAAGGGGCGGGACTTCCGCCTCCACAAGATGGACCGGCCCAGTGCCTGCAAGGGTTCTGTGATTTTCACAGAAACAGATCACCTGGTTCTTTGTCCTTGGACAGGCTGTTGGCTTCAAACTACTGATCTCTCAGCAGCCAACTGCTTAACCACTGAATCACCAAGAGTCCTTGATGCTGTACAGCTAAATCACGTGGGTAGGAAAACAGAAGATTCTAGTTTTTATCCTTCAGCCAATTTATCTCGATGAAAAGGTCTCAAGTGGGGGCAGGGTGGGGACTGGCTCTAGTAACAAGGTGCAGCCGTTCCTGGAGGCAAAGGTGGGGAAGCTTCACCTCACAGACCTTGTGCATGTTGCTAGGAGAGGTTCTTCCCTGGGGAGGGACGGCATGCTTGGAAAGGTGGAGGGTCGGTGGAAGAAAGGAAGCCCCTCCACCACACGGACTGACATGATGACACAGCAGTGGGCTTCAGTGTGTCAGACGTGGGCCTGCTTTATGACCCTGGGGGACAGAGGGCATTATCCCTTTTCAATTAATTGCTCTAAATATTGGTGATGTGCGGATACAACTTGAACTGGGACAGTCTGGTGTCAGAAGCCCAGCTTCCACTATTGACTTCCCTGCTCTGGCCTCAGTTTCTTGATCTGTGAAATGGGAGCAACTGGTCCAGTTGTGAAGCTGCCATAACATCCTTGGCATAATGGCATCTGATATATAATAAGTATTGTGTTGTCATTGGGTAACAACGACGTGAGGGACAAGATCCTAGACAAGGAGGGGCCTGGGCAGTAAAATGTGAGGGGTGTGGTCCATGGTGGGAGGGCAGCACTGGCATCGACAGGGTGCAATGCGGTCCCTACGCGAGCAGAGCACCTGTGTCAGTCAGTTTGTCCCCTGTGGGGTGGCTCAAAGTGGTTTAGCATGCGGTAGTGCAGCCTGGCTGGACTGAGAACAAGGCCTGCCTGCCCCCGAAGCCCTGTCCCCGGCAGGGCAAACAGGACAGCTGACCGGATTTTACCTCCAGCTCCTGGGCACTTATGAGGATGAAGTGGGGAACCCAAGTCCAGTGAGGGGCTCACAGTGGACAGATGGCGGCCTGCATGTGGCTTGTCTGCAGCCAGACCAGGTACCCCAGCTGCACCTTTATTCAAAGAGCAGGTGATGATTGGCTGAAACCTGCCCTCCTCTGCACACCTCCACAGCCACCGGCTTAGACACCCACCGTTAGGGTTCTCTGAGCCACGGCCCCAGGCGTCTCACCTCTTAGAGCCTTCTCCCTGCCTCTAGCTGCATCACAGCTGCTCCCGCACCTGCCACAATGTTTCCCCTTCTCTTAAGTTAAAAC